AAAGAAAAAAAAAAACGAGGTTTATAGTTTATATTCTGAGCATGAGACCGGAGGATTCCGAACCGTTCAAAAATCGAACCAAAATTACTCCGAACTGGAAATAGTCGTTGATTGTTTGACTTTCTCCGAACCGAACCGAACCGAACCGAAAAAATAATTGGTACGGTTCTGGAGATTTCACAAATATCCTTTATAATATAGTAATAATTATTAACCTTCACTTAACTTTCATGTTTAGTAATACTTGATCTACAATTGAATGTTTTCTATTATAAAATAAATATTTAAAATAATATGAAAGGTTAAAGAATATTTTTTTAGACAAAAAAAAAATATTATATTTTATTTGAATTTTACATTTTCAATATTAGTTGCACAAATTTAGTTTTAACTAAAATTTAGAGTTACTTCTAAAGTTGATTTAAAAAAAAAAAATTGAATATGTTGGTTTTATTAAAGCATATAAAAATTAAATAACTAAAATTTTGAGTTACTTCTAAAATTGAATTCAAAATAAAATCTTCAATATGATGAATTATTGATGAATGTTATTTTTTTCAAAGCATATAAAAATTAAAATATAACTAGGTAGTCATTAAAAAATCTAAAAAAATAAGAAATCTCTGAAGATCCGAACCAAATCATACCGAACCGTACCGTCTCAATAGTCCCGAATACTGAACCGAACCGAACCGAAAAATAAAAATCTTCGAACCGAACCGAACCGCCTTTTTGGTACGGTTCTGGAGATCGAATTTTGGGATCTCCGAACTTTAGTTCAATTCTAGAAATTTATCAATCTCTAAACCGTACCGACCACGCTCACCCCTAGTTTATACGTCTCGTAACGACATTATGCGTGTTCTTTGTCGTATTTAATATAAAGTAAAATAAATTACAATTCAAGTGGGCAAGATCTCGTGGCTAACTACGAAAATTCGTCTTTTTTTTTTTTTGGCTAACTACGAAAATTCGTCTTAAAAAAGGCGACTGTTATTAATACTGGGCGAAATAAAAAATAATAACTTTGTTAATGACATTGACTTTTCAAATAGTCCCCCTATCCTCCTATCCCTTCCTCTATATATGTATTATAATCCTCCCTATATATAATTCCTGAATGCGCTGAGCCTATGTGGCTGTTTTTGGTGCTTCGGAATCCTACTTAGCGAAAAATCATGCTTCGTAGTTAGGTTTGGACAAATAATATTGATATATTAATAATTAATAATCTAGGTTTGGACATTCCATAAACATTATTTAGTTAACTTATGTATTTTAATATCACTTTACTAATATAACCCTTTTTTTTTTTTCCAAAACGATAGAAATAACTATTAACGAAAAGCGAGCAAAGCTCGAATACAGCACAGTCCAAAAGAAAACAACATGGGAGGAACATCAACAAAGATGCCCTAGAGCCTCAACGAAAACAGCTAAATGAACAAAGAAAAGAAAAGAGCAAATCACCCCACTGCCACAAAGCCTAGAAAATAATCTGCTCTTACTAAAAACTAAAACAAAACACCAAAACAAAGGAGACTAAAAGAACTAAAGAAAAGGAAATTTAGAGAATAGATGAGAACTCCAGCCAATCCGAGTGAGCTGCCTTAACCACAACCCGGGGTGGAGGAAGAGATCCTTGGAAGATCCACTGGTTTCTGGTTTTCCAGAGCCACCATAACAAATAGGTAGACAGCTGGATTCTATGCTCATCAATTGTGGAATGAGATGCAGAGCAAACAAATTGCCACCAAGTTCAGAAAGAATCAGTGTACTGAGAGAGACCCTGCCATGAGACTGGTGCTAAGTCCCAAGTTCTGCTGGCTCTGGAGCATTTCAAAAGCAAATGTTCAATAGTTTCAGGACTCTCACCACAACACCTGCAAATTACATCAATGTTCAAACCTTTCTTCTTAAGATTAGTCAGAACAGGCAGAGAGCCTGTGAGGCATTTCCACAAGAAAATTCTGATCTTCATCTGCACCTTCATTGACCAAGATCTTTTGAGTGTCAATTTCCAAGAATTCACCCTGTTGCTACTTTCTGGAAGATCCAGTTGAAGAATTTTCTGTTTCACCAAGAAGGAGTAAGTAGAAGCAACTGAGAACTGGCCCTTAGGATCAAGGCCCCAGTAAATTCTGTCAGGTCTGCCAGGCCTCAAACTCTTAATCTTTAAAATAGCAGCACTATCTTCTTCATTAAAAACCTGATGTATTAGCCATTCATTCCAACCCAGACCAGAAGGTAACATCAAATCCTTCACAAAAATGAGATGATCCCTAGCAATTTCCAGCAGCACAGGTTTATCTTTAGAAAGATTGGGGACCCAGTTACAGTCAGCAATTCTGGTAGAACTACCATCTCTAATCTCAGTTTTAAGCCATTTAGAAAACAAAGGAAGGACATCCATCCAGCAGTTCCAGAGCCAAGAGCCAGTATGAGATTTAGAGGCTTGAAAAATAGAAGAGTGAGGAAAATACCTCTCTTTAAGGACCCTACTAACCAGCAAATCAGGTTGAGATATTATCCTCCATAGCTGCTTACAAATCAGAGCTTCATTAAACAGTTTAAAGTCCAAAAAACCCATACCTCCATCACTTTTAGGAATTGAAATTTTGGCCCAACTTATCCAGTGAATGCCTTTTGCTTCTTCTGAATTTGATTTCCACCAAAATTGAGCACATAAGCTGGCTAAAGAGGAGCAAATGGAGGCTGGTATTTTAAAGCAACACATAGTAAAGATAGGAATTGCTTGCAGAACAGATTTCAAAAGAACAGCCTTTCTAGCTGCAGAGAGTAATTTAGCCTTCCAGTTCTGCAACTTGTTTTTGAAGGATTCCACAAGATAATCAAAAATCTCTTTTTTGGACTTACCAATTCCCAGGGGTAATCCCAGATACCTGGTGGATTTATGAGATTGAATGCCTTGCAGAGCTGCACAGATACTTCTTTGAAGAAATTCAGGAGTATTTCTGCTGAAAAAGATTGCAGATTTAACCAGATTCACAGTTTGGCCAGTGAACATTCTATATTTGTTCAACAGATCAAGAAGAACCCCAGCCTGGTCAACCCCAGCTTTACAGAAAAAGATTGAGTCATCTGCAAACAACAGATGAGATATAGATGGCCCAGACTGAGATAATTTCAACCCCTTCAGAGAACCAGTGTTAGTAGCATCAATTATAAGGGCAGACGGCAACTCAGAGACTATGATGAACAGATAAGGGGAGAGAGGATCCCCCTGTCTTATTCCTCTGGAAGGAGAAACCACTCCACAGATATCCCCATTAACTTTAAAAAAAATTGAGGTGGTAGATATGCAAGCCATGATAAGTTTAACAAAATCAACATGAAACCCCATTTGAATCATGATCTTCTTAATACTGGCCCACTCCAGTCTGTCAAAAGCTTTCATGACGTCAAGTTTCAAAGCCATAAAGAAATTTTTACCAGAAGCATGCCTGTTAAGAAAGTGAAAGGCTTCCTGGGCTATGATGACATTATCCAGCAGTTGTCTGCCCTGGATAAATGCAGATTGAAATCCACTAATGCACCCATCAAGACAAGTCTTAAGCCTCTGAGCAAGAACTTTAGAGATAACTTTATAAACCACAGTGCAAAGGCTAATAGGTCTAAACTTACAGATGGTATCAGGAGCAGCACATTTAGGGATTAAAGAGAGAATAGTATGGTTCCAATATTGAAGCATCTGGCCAGTTTGGAAGAAACTCAAGATGGCAGAGATAAAGTCAGATTTGATTAAGTTCCAAAAGTGTTGATAGAAAAGAGCATTCATACCATCTTCCCCAGGTGCTTTATTAGGATGAAGACTGAAAAGAGCTGATTTGATTTCTTCCTCCTCCACAGGGATCAGAAGCCTTTGGTTCATTTTAGTAGAGATAGAGGGGTTGATAAGATGCAATAAAGTGTCCCCTCCCCAAGAACCCTCAGTTGAGAAAAGAGATCTGTAAAAGTCAGCAATATGGCTCTGGATGTCTTTCTGGCATGTAAGTTCTTCACCTCTGGAGTTGATAAGTCTGGTAATGGCATTCATTCTTCTTCTGTGCAATGTATAGGCATGGAAGAATTTTGAATTACTATCCCCATGTTTGAGCCAGTGTAGCCTTGAAGTCTGTTGCCAATACATTGCTTCATAGTGGTGAGCTTTGTCCAGATCTGTCCTTGTAGTGCTCCACTCATCCCACTTAGCTGAAGAGTTGTCCTCTCTTAGATCCTCCAACTTCTTGGTAAGAGTGGCTATTTGATGCTGATTTTGGGTTTGGAATTGAGAGCTCCACCTCAATAAAGCCACCCTTGTCTGCTTAATTTTTTCCTTGAGTTGAAAAAAGGGAGTACCAGAAACTGGTATCTTCCAAGCTTGTGTCACCACTTCATTTAAGCCAGCTTGACCAATCCACCTTGCATCAAATTGGAATCTTCTAGCTCTCCTCTCTTTTTTGATGCCAGGATCCAGCAGAAGTAAGGAATGGTCAGAGGAGCTTGTGACCAGGTTCAGAGTTTTGGCATTGGGGAAGTTCTGCATCCACTCAATAGAACCGAAGTCTCAGTCCAATTTTTCTT